ATAATTCAACTCTGACCCCTACGACAACTGAATCTGACAATAATTCAACTCTGACCCCTACGACAACTGAATCTGACAATAATTCAACTCTGACCTCTGGGACAACTCAGTCTCCTAGTGTCTCCTCACAGACTACCACTCCAGGTAAGAGTGATCCCTAAAAATCTCCCCACTGGGGTGCACAGCACTGGGGCTGTGATGTGTCAGTGTGTTCTGGAGAGGAAGGGAAATGGCTAGGAAAAAAACCTCAAACTTCGTCATGGCAGAAGAGGCCCAAGGTGAGCAGTCAGTCACATTCTTTCCTTCCTGCTGCTCAAGCTCCATGCCGGCGGTGGAGTGGGTTTTTATGAGTTTGGTCTTTGTGAAGCTACCCATAGGAGAGTTGGAAGTAGCTTCAGGTTCTCTCAAAAGACCGGGTTTGACTAAGCGCTGGCTCATTGGCCACATTCGTCTTTAAGGAAGAAGTCAGCTCTACCCTGGAGTCAGTCAAGATGGTGGCTGATCACAATTTGGAAACTGAGTCGAGCCTTTGAGTTTGAGCCCCAGGGTTAAGGAGCCAAACAATGGCTGTCCTCAAACAGTCGCTGGCTGACCAGGGCCCCAGCACAGCCACTTGTGTGGAATTGGCCATAAGCCAATGTTACTAAAAGAGAAACCACTTGGCTCATGTCTCCAAGCTTGATGTAGAGTAAGTGTCATCGAAGTTTATCAGTGACAAACAGTATGTATTTAGGCTTTGTGGACAACACAAAACTGTTAACTTCTGACTTTTTAACATAAAAGCAGCCATGTCAATGTAAAAATGAGTGAACTTGGCTATATCCCAATAAAACTTTATTTATAAAAATAAAGGGTTGGTCAGTTATGGCTCATGAGCCATAATTTACCAACTTTGCCTAGAGGACTCCTCAGACTTCACAGTTTAGAGTTCAAATATACCGTGCCATTCTCAGAGAAGGAAAATGAGACTCCAAGAAAACAGCGGCCTGCCCAAAGAGAGTGCGTTTGTGTCTCCCTATACTTTTGATCATTTTCCAAGTTTTCCTTGATAGAGCTAAGAAAACAGAACCCAGCCTGTCTATGACACTGCCTCCCCAATCTTCTAGGTAGAGCAGGGCAGAGAGGTCACAGGCATGCAGACGGCTGTGGCGGACTCTGGCATGGGAGCTTCTCCAGGCCGCTCCTGCTTCCTCCACAGCAGTCCTGTGTGAGCTGCTGATGCTGGCTGGCACGAGGCAGATCGCTTCTCTCGGCTTCAGTGGAATCACTTAAGACTTTGTAATGAATGCCGGGCGGTGGTGGTGCATGCCTTAATCCCAACACTCAGGAAGCAGAGGCAGGTGGATCTCTGTGAGTTCGAGGCCAGCCTGGTCTACAGAGCGAGTTCCAGGACAGCCAGGGCTACACAGAGAAACCCTGTCTCAAAAAAACAAAAGAAAAGACAAAAAACAAAACAAAACAAAACAAAAAACCTGCTTTTTGAAAAATCTTCAGAATCTATGGAGATGAAGAAAATGGCAACCTATGGCTGAGTTCATAGGTTCAGTGGTAAAGCACTTGTCTAGGATGTATGAGGCCTGGTTTCAGTCCTCAGTACTGGAAAAAGAAAGGGGAGGGGAGGGGAAGGGAGGAAGGCAGGCAGGCCAACCAAGATCACCATTTGCTCACCTACAGAACATCCTCCTCCAATCTCACCTGCTCTCTGGAAGGAGGGCCTGAGACACATGTGCCTGGCCCAGAACCTAGGCCAAGGTTCAGGAGCCATCTACTATTTCTTTATGCTGCGTCCCCCCTCACAGAGCCAAGAGTGTAGAGCATCCTAGTTTCTCCTCTTAGAAAGCTCACTGGGTTGCCCAGGCCAGTCCACCCTGACTTGAACCTGACCTTGGGAGAAGCTAAGCAGGGTGAGATTCGGTTCATACTTCAACAGGAGGAAGTTCACTGGTGAATCTGCATTGTCTCTCCCTTATTGTTCCCTTCCTCCCTCCGTTTCTTCTTTTTGAAGCAGAGTCTTCTGTAGACCAGGCTGGCCTCAAACTGCCAGAGATCCTGTGTCTACCTCGTAAGGGCTGGGATTAAACACATATGCCACCTTGCCTGGCTTTCTTCATGAGTGTGTGCCGGCTCTGCTTATCTGAACAAGACATCTGGTTTCCCTTGGGAACGTCCTGCTGTCCTGCCCTGTATGGTGATCGCCACACCATTCTGTAAAAAGTGGCTTTGTTTTAAGAAGGTTTGGGGGAGCCCTACTCAGTGGCAGAGAAGCAGGCACTGAGTGTCCTTGAGCACTGGAGAGTTCTGAAGATCTTCCACTCCTGAGGATTGGAAAGCTGCCTTTCTTCACAAAGCAGGGCTCTGCCCACCAATCTCTAATCTCCACTGTCAGCGAGCACTCAGCTCCGAAACCACAACACTGGGCTTCCCCAGAGACCGAAGCCAGCAGTCTGTTCCCAGCCCTTCTAAGAACGTATGATAGAGTCATACAAAAAGGGTAGGGAGGCCAGGCGGTGGTGGCGCACACCTTTAGTCCCAGCACTGGGGAGGCAGAGGCAGGCAGATCTTGGTGAGTTCAAGGCCAGCCTGGTCAACATAGCAAGTTCCAGGACAGCCAGGGCTGCACAGTGAGACCGTGTCTTTAAAGAAATACAAGTGTGTCTAGAGGGAGGGTGTGAAGAGCAGACAGGAGTCACCAGGAGTTATTTGCTGAGTTTTATGGATTTATAATGTCTTCCTCCTCCGTCTAAGGTCCCCGTGATCCTTGTGTGATTGACCCCTGTAAAGGAACTGCTTCTTGTGTTAACCTGCATTCTGAGCGTGTCTGCTTGTGTTCAGAAGGCTATTACTATAAAACTTCTTCATCGTGTGAGAAAGGTAAGTTACAAGAGATGAACAGGGCAGAGCCCTGAATCTCATAACTAAAGCGGGCTTTAGGGGAATCTCAAAATGGTAGGAAAAGGGGCAGAGGAAAAATTGAAAGCAAAGAAGGGTGGCCAGGGAAGGCTTTTGTCCCAGCCAGCCCTGGGGAGTAGAGATCGAGCAAGGCCGATTTGCAAGCAAGCTAGGTCTGGTGTGGGCAGAACCTTCCCTCTGCTGCTCTGGAATGCACTAGATGCAAAATAAAAGCAAGTGTTGGCCGGGCGGTGGTGGCGCACGCCTTTAATCCCAGCACTCGGGAGGCAGAGCCAGGTGGATCACCGTGAGTTCGAGGCCAGCCTGGGCTACCAAGTGAGTTCCAGGAAAGGCGCAAAGCTACACAGAGAAATCCTGTCTCGAAAAACCAAAAAAAAAAAAAAAAAAGCAAGTGTTGCCAGGGCCCCTGAAAACTGACTCCATGATGACGAGATTGTCCACGGTGTACCGTTACAGTGCCAGGACACTGAGGCAGAAGAGGGTAACAGGCTGGGCCCTGATCTGAGCTGTCCCAGCTCCAGACACGGACTTTGCATGCACCTCAGTACAGGCCGGCATAGGTCACCCGGTGCTGTGGAGCCCTGGCTGCCTGTCCAAACCAGCAGTTCTCCACCTTCCTGATGCTGTGACCCTTTCACAGTGCCTCATGTTGTGGGGGCCACCACCCGTAAAATTATTTTCATTGCTACTTCATAACTGTCATTTTGTCATTGTTATGAATCGTAATGTAAATGTCGCCTTAGGAGAGCCCTATGAAAGGGTCATTTGACCCCCAAAGGGTTCACCTCTCACAGGTTGAAAACCACTGGTCTAAATGACTCCTTTTTGTTCTGCGTCATGAATAAGAAATGACTTTTCTTGCTGGAGCAGGTCAGTGGTATAGTAAGTGAATGTCCTATGTTGCCCATAACAGTTAGAGATATGCCCCCAAAGTTTGTATTTTTAACACTAATTTCTGAGGATCTACTCTATATAAATGATACCCCCCCCCAAAAAAAAAAAACCCTTCTATTTTAAATAATGAGCGACAAGGTCAAGAATTAAAATTAAAAAAAAAAAAAAAAGCCACACATGGTAGCACATGTCTTAAATTCCAGCACTTGGGAAACAGACCAGGCAGTTCTCTGTAAGTTCGAGGGCAGCCTGGTCTACAAATGGAGTTCCAGACCAGCCAGTAGCCAGGACTACACAGTGAGACCATGTCTAAAGGGGGAAAAGGAAAAGAAAGAGAAAAAAGAGAGAGAGAAGAAAAGTAGCTTATGTTTTAAACACAGAATCGAAGAGGGTGCTGTTAACATTAAATGGTTCAGAAAGGGTCTGCCTGGTTTTTCAGGAAAGACATTCCCTGGAGAGCTTACAATGAAGGTGCCTGAACCATCTGACTTGGAAGATAAAAACTCCCAAGGCTATCAAGACTTTCATAACTACGTTGTCAACTTTGTAAGTGTCTCCGCACTTTCCCACCTGCGAAGCAGCTCCCTTCTCACCTGGGTCTGCAGGGGTGGGGGTGGGGGTGGGGGAGTGGGACCGGTCTTCACGCGGCCACAGGGCACAGTCGTCTGTTGTTGACCAAGTGAAATGTACCTCCTCCGGGTGGGCATGTAGATCCCCTGGGATTCTTGGGCCTCCGAAGGATTGTGCAGCTGAGACAGAGCACCCAGCAGAGCCCTGCCTCCGGAAGCGGTGTTGAGACACTGTGCTGGGCTTCCCTGTTATGGAAGCTATCCGTGTGGTTTTGAATAGACAAGAGCTCTCACAGTGTCTTAAGTTATTTCAGAGCAGGCTGGGCCTATGGCTTAGTGACAGAATGCTTTTCCAGCATGAGAAAGGCCTCGGGTTTTACCCCATAGCAATAAGAACTTAATTAGAGCCGGGCGGTGGTGGCGCACGCCTTTAATCCCAGCACTCGGGAGGCAGAGCCAGGCGGATCTCTGTGAGTTCGAGGCCAGCCTGAGCTACCAAGTGAGCTCCAGGAAAGGCGCAAAGCTACACAGAGAAACCCTGTCTCGAAAAACCAAAAAAAAAAAAAAAAAGAACTTAATTAGAAATTCATTATTTCGGACTAGGGAATATAGCTCAGTGGTAGACATTTTTCTTTTTCCTATGTTCAGATTTGCATAAATTTCCATACCAACATGGCTTATTTTTTACCTGTAATAGAGAAACTTTATCAGATACTTTCTCCTCCATTTTCAAAAACCATGACAAAAACATTTCACTTCATTTCTATTCTTGAGAGCGAGTGTGTTGGCAGGCAAGAGGTAAAGTTTGGAAAGACATTCTGGAGCCCATGGTTGCCAGGCCTGGGAAACTCTCCATAGCATTTAGCCAGCCAGTGTTTAGACACCTGAGATCAGCTAGGGCTGGGTGTTCCTGGGGGAGCCAGGGAGGTAGGAAGCATTCATATGGTTTCAAAGAGTGTTTTTGTTTATGTGCTTTTAGGGAGGGTTTTTGTGTTTGCTCTTTTAAAAATATTTTATTTGTTGTATGTGTGTGCGTGCACACGGGCGTATGTCATAGTGTCTGTATCAGAGGACAACATTCAGGAGTTGGCCCTCCTTGCTGAGGTATGGTCTCTTGTTTCTGCCACACTTCGTTTTCCAGGCTAGCTAGCCTTTCCAAGAGGATCTCCTTCCTCTGCCTCCCATCTCACCATAAGAATGCTGGATTCATTTGTGGTGATGGTCTTTAAGCCTAGTACTCGGGAGGCAGAGACAGGCGGATCTCTGTGAGTTTGAGGCCAGCCTGGGCTATCAAGTGAGTCCCAGGAAAGGCGCAAAGCTACACAGAGAAACCCTGTCTCGAAAAATCAAAAAAAAAAAAAAAAGATTAATTTATTCATGTATTTTATGTACATGAGTGCTCTGTCTTCATGCATATCAGAAGAGGGCATCAGATCTCATTACAGGTGGTTTTGAGCCCCCATGTGGTTGCTGGGAATTGAACTCAGGACCTCTGGAAGAGCAGCCAGTGCTCTTAACCTCTGAGCCATCTCTCCAGCTCCTGCATCTGTCTATAATGTGGGTCCTAGGGATTCAACTCAGATTTGTGAGGCGAGCACTTCGACCCGTTTTAGTATTTTGAGACAAGGTCTCACACTGAATTCCAGACTGGCCTGGAACTCACTATATAACTGGGGATGACCTCAAATGATGAGTCCTCCTGTCTCAGCCTTTTGAATGCTAGCATTATAGGCATGAGGCACCATGCCTGGTGTCAATGATATTTTTAATTCAAAGGGGATATTTCAGAACCCCTTGGCATTCTCTGGAGCATAGTTAGGAAATCAGAGACCTTCTCCTTCTCAACAGACCTTGTGTGCCAGTCCCAGCTCAAGCCATGAGACCTCTCCCAGGGTCTATCCAGTTGGATCTAATTGGATTTTGCATAGAGATTATCTCTTCTGTACTGTGCCTGGGATACTAAGCTCAATGTTTCTATTTCTGTAAATAAGCTGAGGTTTAGGGACATAGACCTGTGATCCCAGCTACTTAGGAAGCTGAGGCAGGAGGATTACAAGTTCAAGGTTTGCCTGGACTGAAGAGTGAATTCCAAGCCAACCTAATCAAAATATATTTTAGAAAGAGTTGGATTGGGCATATGGCTCAGTGGTATAACACTTGCCTAGCATGTACAGAGTCCTGGGTTCAGTTCCTAGAACCACAAAATAAACAGATACATAAATATATAATTGTAAAATGAAAAGGGCTCAACAGTGGAGTAGTTGCCTAATGTGAGTGTGGCTTGGCCGTTAGAATGCTCGCCCCTAGGTTTAATATCCAGCAGTGTTCCCTCTGGGTGTGGTGGTACATGCCTGGAATCCCAGCACTTCAGAAGTGGAGGCAGGAGGAGGATCAGGAGTTTAAGGCCATCCTTGTCTACATACTAAGTTGGAGGCCAACCTGGGCTACATGAAACCCTGTCTCAGGAAGGAAGAAAGGGTGGAGGGAGGAAAGAGGGAAAGGTGGGGAAAGAGGGAAGGGAAGGAGGGAGCCAAGAAGGAAGTCAATGTTGAAGCCTAGAACATAATTTTTTAATTTTTTTCATCTTGTGATTACATCTATTCTCCTCCACAGCTTAAAAATACATTTAATAAGCCTGGTGATGGTTATGGACAGACTATAATTCTTAAAGTGAGGTAAGTTTATGCGCCGGGCCAGTGAGATACTTTGGAGGCAGCATTATCTCTGCCTCACTTCTCCTCCCCTCTCAAGGTCATGAGTCATCTTGTGTCGAGTCACAAGTCATGAAGAGGTGGCCGTGGGGGTGGGGAGATGGACCAGTTGGTAAAGTGCTTGCCCTACAAGCACAAGGCGCTCAGTTCGGATCCCCAGGACCCACGTAAAAAGCCTCACTCAGTGGCCCATGTTTGGGAAGCTCCTCCGTGCTTGGGGAGCAGAGACAAATGTATCCCTGGAGCTCCTTGGCCATCAGCCTAGCCAAATTGGTGAGCTCCAGGTCCAGTGAGACTCTGTCTCCTAAGGTGGACTGTCCCTACCCCTTCACTGGCCGGCCTGCGGGTCTGTATAGAGCCGTGGCATTACAGGATGGGTTTGCTAAAGTCACCAAGGATAAAGGGTACTTTAGGAGACCACATGAGAATTTAGGGGGCAATGAGAGGGTAACACTGGCTACCACGTTCAGGAACGTTTGGTGATCCAGGACAAAAAAAAACGAGTACAGCACACCCAAATATGGGAGACAGCTCACGTAGCTGTCAGGGACGTCACCCTTCAGATTGCTTATGGTGAATGGAAGGGGTGTAATAGCCTGTGTCCATGAGCCACCAAGACATTGTGTGAAAGCCATAGGCTCAGCACTTGTCTGCTGCTGGCCCACAGGCTTCCCAGCAGGTTTGGCATGGCCAGGGCCCACAAAGGCAAGTGGGGGTATTTGTAGGGGAACACATTGTAGAAAGCGCTGGTGGCCAGCAGAGGCCTTCCCTGGCTGTTGGATTCTACTTGCCAGAATGGCAACTGGTAATAAAGTTCTGGGGCCCAGAAAGGAGCTGTGGATAGAGGCTTATCGGTCCATGGCAGTTCCAGATGACTCCTTGGTCATGATCCAGTGAGGTACCTCGTGGGACAGACGGAATGTTGCAGATTACACGAGGGAGGAAGATGAAGATGTAAGAAAGAGTTCTTGGGCCAGCGAGATGGCTTAGGGGGTGAAGGCACTTGCCGCCAACCTTGATGACCTGGGTTAGATCCCCAGAATTCTAGAAAGTTGTCTTCTGACCTCTATCTGTGTGCTGCAGCACTCATGGACACACACACACACACACACACACACACACACACACACAAATAAATGTAAGTTATAAAAAATTATGTAAAGAACAATGTAACTCCAAATATGAAGGAAAATATGAATAAGAAAACTCATGCTACTATGAAAGAGAATCCAGTCTATGAACTGGCAGTGGTGGCGCACGCTTTTAAGCCTAGCACTTGTGAAGCAGAGGCAGGTGGATCTCTGTGAGTTCAAGGCCAGCCTGGTTTACAAAGTGAGTTCCAGGACAGCCAGGACTACACAGAGAAACCCTATCTAAAAACCCAAAAGAGAGAGAGAGAGAGAGAGAGAGAGAGAGAGGGAGGGAGGGAGGGAGGGAGGGAGAGAAAGAGAGAAAGAGAGAAAGAGAGAAATGTGAAAGAGAGAGAGAATCCAGTCTATGAGAAAGAGCCCAAGAGAGAAGTTACAAAAGAAATGTGGGCTGGAGAGATGGGATCGGTGGTGATAATCACTGGCGGCTCTTCCAGAGGACCTGGGTTTGATTCCCAGCACCCATGTGGTGGCTCACTCCGGTTTCAGGGGATCTAATGCCCTCTTCTGGCCTCTGTGGGCACCAGCCATGCGTGAAGCACACAGACATACGTGCAGGCAAAAGATACCCACAAAATATAAAATAAAACTTATTGTAAAGAAAATGTACTGACCCCTCCCCCCCCCAAAAAAAAGAAATGCAATGACCCCAAATGTCCCATGCCCAGAAAAAGATTGGGTAGTTCAAAATAAAGCAAGCTTCCTCAGAGCTTGGGAACAGCCTGCTAAGAACTAAAGTAGTTTTATGATTTTTTTTCTCATAAACTTATTGACCAAGCAACTAAAAATGACAATATTAATGTGGAGAGCAAATGACAGTTGATGTCAGTCTCTGGCTTCCATGTGCATGCACACACGAACACACACATACACACACATACATATATACACACACATAAACACACACACACACACACACACACGAACTCATACACACACACACACAACCATACACACAGGAACACATACATACACAAACACACACATACACACAAACACACAATACATACATACACACACATAAACACACGCACACAAGAACACACACACACACACACACACACACACACACACGAAGAGGTGGCTAGCCAGAGCACTACAGAAGGAACTGTGTGCCTCAAGGGTGCCTCTAATATCATACGGACTCAGGCCGGCGTGAGCAGGGTGTGTCCTGGAGAAGGAAGGCTGTTGGTGGTTGCCCGGCATCTTGTTCACGTGGATCAAGTTTGTTCACATGAACTAGTCTGGTCGGATCCTTTGGTTACAAATCATATCTCTGTCATTCCCTGACTTGAGGGCTCCAAGTGCCCTTCAATAGACTGCTGTTCTCATTGTAGCTTCTCTGAACATCTGTCAAACAGAAGCCACCAGGCTGAAAATGCCACGCTGTATCACCCGGGCCTGCATATGTGGTCCACGGTTGTGGAGCCAGGCCAAGAACTCGGGAGATTTGGACATCGGGGAGGTTCACATACTGTGTATTGACTCATCATGGACATCTTTATTTCATTTTTTAGTGACTCCTCTTCACTGTCAGCAAGATCTGCAGTGCGTGCTGCTGAAAAGACAGTCTACGTATCAGTAGTGAACATGTTTGAAGAAAGCACAACTCAAAATGAAAGTACTGTAGCTGCTGCCATTGAGAGGGCAGTTCAGAGCAATGGAAACATGACAGGCTACACTAGTAAGTCCTGAAACTTGACTTCAAGTTTGCCTAAAGATCTCACCTTCTGCTAATCTTTCCATTATATGTGAGAAGGAAGCAGGCCAAGAGATGGAGTGCTGTCTCCAAATTTTCCTTTTTTTTCTCTTTCTTTCTTTTCTTTTTTCTTTCTCTCTTTTTCTCTCTTCCTCTCTTCCTCTCTTCCTCTCTTCCTCTCTTCCTCTCTTCCTCTCTTCCTCTCTTTCTCTCTCTCTCTCTCTCTCTCTCTCTCTCTCTCTCTCTCTTTTTAAACAAGGTTTTCTCTGTATAGCTCTGGCTGTCCTGGAACTCACTCTGTAGACCAGGCTGGCCTTGAACTCAGATCTCCACCTG